ATGGTTTTCCCCACACACGTATTTCGAGCTTACATGGATAACTTGTCACCTAGTTTTGCTGTAAATTTTGTCCTTGGTATTTTGGCTTTGCTATCTTAGTCATTCTATTTGCTATCTTAGTCACTCAGGCAGATTGAATATATGTGATTTTGCCATCTAGAATCCAAAATCCATTTTGCACTCACATTCTAAAAACTCCCCTGGATAGACTTAGCATTTCAGGCCTCTGCTTATGGCATGTGTACTATCTTTGTGCTTTATTCTGAAGTTGTAGTTTAAATGTTCTTAATCTATCGGTGTTTAGACATAGCAAAACCTATGGTCTCACTCACAGCAGGAATCTAGAAAACTTAAATAAGGGACCAGGAAAAAGAATAACTATAAGAAAGAAAATATCAAAATCAACAAACAAATATGAACCAGAGACACTCTATGGGGGTTGGGTGGCGGGGAAAGGAGGGTTTGGGGTAAAAATAAGGGGGTTGTAATTGTATGGGGAATATAAAAATAAAATTTAAATTAAAAAATAGATATAGCAAAACCTATCTATGTAGAAAGGACTAAAAAGAATCTGATTTTCATTATAGTGGAAATGAAAGTATTTATAGATATAGCAAAGGTGAAAGTATTGCAAAATGTATTTGTCTGTGGAATGAACAATAGGAAAATTCTGAAGGCCAAAGAGCAAATTATGCTATGTCTGTGTCATTGAAGGTAGTTGTAATAATCAGCAAGAGACAAAGAAAAATGACCTGTGAACAGGGACAACCTTTCCAGTTCTGAAAAGTCACCATCACTATCTGATTTCTGGGAGCGTAGCATTCAGAGGCGGTGAGGATTTAAATAAAAATGAAACCTGAAAACAATGAAAGTTGAACTCTGGTCATAAGCCACAGAAGGTTTTATGAATTCAGGACTACTTATTCCCTGCTGAGCATCAAAGTGAATGCCTGATGGTTACTGCAAACACTAGAGATACATGGGTATTTCTGAGGCTACTAGGAAATAAGGAATCTAAAAGCTGTAACAAGGTTTTTTTTTTTTAAGATTAATCAAAATTGATCTAAGAGAATTTAAAGAAAGTGTGATAGAATATTATCAGCATAGAGAGAAAGATATTTCTGGTTTGAAAGTGACAAAGGCCTAACTAACATATTACTTATAGGAAATGCATCTAGGGACTGTAAGCATAGTCCCTTGCCAGGCCCTTGCAAACAAGTCGACTTCATTATACTCCTCAGGAACCAAGCCTGGTAGTAAGTAGAAAAACTTCTGTACACTGTAGACTGGCAAGTCTGTAGATTGTTTCATAGGAGGTACAGAAACTTTATTTTTAATTTCAACCTTTTAAAACAGCCAAGGACAGGGCCTCCCCGGTGGCACAGCGGTTGAGCGCTGGGTTGCGAAGCTGCCCGCGGCCTCTGCGGCGCCGGTTCGATCCCCGGCTGCTCCCCGGCCACCAGAGGAGGGTCCCACATGGCGCGCAGACCTCTCCTGCCGCCCGCTGCTCCCCTCAGCAGTGTACTTCGGTCCTTCTGCCTGCTCTGCTCCCCGCTCTGGCTCTGGTGAATTCTCTCACCCTCCCACGCTTCTGACTGTACCCAGTGCATGTATAAACAAAAACAAACAAACAAACAAAATAAATAAATAAAAAACATGCCTCTATAAAAAAAAAAAAAAATAAAAATAAAAAAAATAAAACAGCCAAGGACAGACGGTTAAATTGTATCAATGAAAATATTTATGCAGAGAAGTAAACTAATGTGGTTTATCTATACATAAGTGCCGAGGCTTAGGAGCACTGGTAAAACTAATGTGACTAAAAAGGATGTGGAAGTGAATGAATTTGGAGAGGGAACTAGGAGCCAGATCATGTAGAGTTTTATAGACTGTAATGCCAATAATTTTTAATTTTATTCTAATTTTATTTTATTGTCAGAATGAAGAGAACCAATATTAGTACTGATTGAAAATTTTTTATTAGAAAATTTAAATTTTTTAAATTATATAATACTACAGATGAGTTATTGAGATATATAGAAATATAAATGCATACTTTTAAAAAACAAAGTTTGCTAAACAGTACTGAACCTTATTTCGTATTTTCTTATTTGTTGTTTTCCTTAATTTTTTTAAAGATTTAGTTATTTATGCATACAAGAACTGGGATGTAGGCCAGAGTTGCCGGGGTGTTGGTGAGAGGACTCACCAGAGACAGAGTGGGGAGAACAGGTTGTTCTACTGAAATATACTGCTGAGGGGAGCAGCAGGTGAGACAGGAGAGGCCTGCTGCACCATACATGGGTTAGCTCCCTGGCTGGGGATTAAACTCATGATAGCTTGATAGCACTGAGACTTTAACCTCTATGCCACCAGGAGGCCCTGTCTTCTTTAATGTTTAAAACAGCCCCCCAAACAAACAGTTGCAACCCACTAAATTGACTGAGTAACACACTAGTGGACCAAAAGTTGAAGTTTGAAAACCACTGTATAAGTAATATAAATCTTTTATTTGACTTACCAACACACGTTTTATTGAAAATAGTCAAATTATTATCTAGATGCTACTCTATTTCCTATAATGTATTTATTAAAAAAAGACTTTATAATAATACATAAGAATACATAAATACATAATAATGTATTTATTTAAAAACCCAAACACCCTTATATAGTATAACAGTAGGTTCTAATGTAGAGAAAAGTCTGATGATAAATTTTCCTACTTGATATTGACCTTGGTTGTCTCCCTGGTGTGAAATGCTAGGGTCTGTACATTTCAAATGGACTTATAAAATGTCAACATAATCTTTTTCTTTAATGGTCTGTAATTAAATATCCAAACTGCTAGCCAAAATAACCGTTGGTCTCTTTTTAAATTATAAACAAAGAATAAGTTATTTATAGACAGCTTGGTGGTCTTTAAATTGTCACTGAAGAATTAATGAAAAGAAATGCCATTTTCATATTTTCTGCAAATTGCTTATTATTTTATTGTGTTTCATTTTGGAAGAGAGCTTGTGGGAGGAGTGAAGGATAAATGAAACATAAAGGTCAGTGTGAAGTAATGGGGAAAATGGCCCGCTAATTCTATTATTTGACTCCTTGCTGATGCAAGGAGTCAATGACCTTTGGAAAGATACTTGCCTCTGCCTCACTTTTCTCACTTAGAATTTGAAATAATAGCTATATCATAACTTAAAATTTAAGGTTAAGTGAGAGTCTAATGGGTGTAACATGTATTTTAATAAATACTAGTTTTTTCCTATCCTTTCTTCTTCAGAAAGAAATTCAGTGAAAATAATGTTAGAATAACCAGGGTTGGAGAGTGTAGAAACGTGCAAAAAGGAAGGTACATCTTTTTTATTGGTTGTTCTATTCTTAGTAAGTCTATAGTGTGTCATCCCAGTTTTCCTAGTTTCTTTTAGGATAGATAGGTGATAAGTAGGTAGACTTCCTGTGTCTCCTGCTGTTCTTCTTTTTTTTTTTTTAATTAATAAATTTTATTTTTATATTCCTCATACATTTGCAATCCCCCCATTCTGACCCCAATCCCTCCCCTCCCGCCCCCCCACCCCCAAGTGATGAAAGGTACATTAGGAAGGCCAGGAAGTGGTATATTCATACTTGATTCTAGTATTTTATTAATAGTTTCTAGTGTCTTCAGTCTGCTTTATCACAGACTTTTCTGAAGGAGCTGTGAGTGCTGGGTTTTGACACCAAGTATTTTGGCTAACCCAGATATCCTAGGAATGAAGTTACAAAGTTGGAGTGAGATGGAAAGATAGAACTAGAATTTTGCTGACTTAAAACAACTTTATTGAGATATAATTAATGTTACCGTAATACTCATGCTTTCAATGTATACAGTTCGGTGATTTTTAGTATATTCACAATTATGCAACCATCACCACTATCTAATTTCAGAATATTTTCAGCGCCCCAAAAGGAGACCTTGTACCCATTAGTAGTCATTATCCACCCCCACCCAGCCTACCCCACCCCTCCACCCCCACTTCCCCTGGCATCTCAGCCCCTTGCAGCCACTAATGTGCTTTTTGTCGCTATGGATTTGCTTATTCTGATTATTTCATATAAATGGAATTATGTAATATGTTATCTTTTGTGACTGACTTTTACTCAGTGTAATGTTTTTATTTTTTTATTTTTTTTTTTTCTTTTATAGAGGCATGTTTTATTTATTTATTTGTTTGTTTGTTTCATTTATACATGCACTGGGTATAGTCAGAAGCGCGGGAGGGTGAGAGAATTCACCAGAGCCAGAGCGGGGAGCAGAACAGGCAGAAGGACCAAAGTGCACTGCTGAGGGGAGCAGCGGGCGGCAGGAGAGGTCTGCGCGCCATGTGGGACCCTCCTCCGGTGGCCGGGGAGCAGCCGGGAATCGAACTGGCGCCGCAGAGGCTGCGGGCAGCTTCGCAACCCAGCGCTCAACCGCTGTGCCACTGGGGAGGCCCAGTGTAATGTTTTTAAAGGTTCATACATGTTGTAGCTTGAATCAGTATTTCATTTCTTTTTATTGCCAAATAATACAACATGGTATGTATATGCTACGTTGTTTTACCTGTTCATTTCAGGGAATATTTCAGTTGCTTCCATTAAACATATATGAGGATAAAAAAACAAAACAAAACAAACAAACAAAAAAAAACCATATATGAGGACATATGTTTTCAGTTCCCTTGATTATGTAGTCCAGAGTAGACTTGCTTGGTCATATGCTAACTTTATGTTTTCCATTTTGAAGACCTTATAAACTGTTCTCCAATGTTATTGCAATATTTTGTCTAGCTAGATTTTAAATCACCCGATTTTAGGGTTCTTATTTCATGTATATTGAAGGAGGACCTTTGCTGGTTGAACTAATTGCTCGGGGGAAATATCTACCTGCAATAGTTGGAAAAGTTGGAAGTACATTTTTAAAAGTAAGTTTGTAATTACATTAATTTTGCCTCTTTTTTTTTTTAATTTTATTTTTGCAGTTTTATCTCCAAGACACTAAAAGTAGTAATGGTACCTTTATAAATAGCCAGAGATTGAGTCGAGGCTCTGAAGAAAGTCCACCATGTGAAATTCTTTCCGGTGACATTATCCAGTTTGGGGTAGATGTGACGGAGAACACACGGAAAGGTACGGGTATGGATCGATTTTTCCTATTATTTGTCCTTTTAAGTTTATTTTTATTCTGCTATTTAATAGAACAAAACATCTCATGCTTGCAAAAGCAAATTAAATACAGTACTGTGTGCCATGAAAAGTAGAAACTCTAACTTCTATTTTTTTAAAATTTTAAATTCTGAAATATTGACAAGTAATTTATTCTTCATAACAATATGAAAACATAGGGTACTAATGTGTCAGTTAGGAAACAATTGGCAGCAACCACAGCGTACCCATAAGGATATTTATTGTCAATAAGAAGTCTATAGGCTGTAGCTTCAGATTTTATTCACTTGATTAAATAATGTTATTTAGAATCCAAGATCTTACTGTCCTCACATTCCACTATTCTTAATATGTTGTTGTCTTGTGTTTTTGCTTATCTCTGGTCAAAGGGTGATGGCTGCAATCCCAGGCATTATTTTTCTCACACCAATGCTCTAGGGGAAAAGCAATGAGGTGGGGACAAAGTGTCTTTGTGTATGACTCTTTTATGTTGAAATAGCAGTCTTTCATAGAATCCTTCCAGCAGATTTTTCTTTGTCTCATTGGCCCCATGGTTAGGTCATAAACATAGCAACTTGTAGCTACAAAGGAACCTGTGAAGTTATTTACGTGGCAAAGGTGAACAGGAAATCCATGACTAGCATAGATCACTTATGATTTATCCCTTCTGGTTGTGTCCCAAGTAAAATCAAAGTTCTTTTAGACAGATAATGGTACCTATCACAATATAAAATTTCATGTGTCTTGTTTTTCTAACTCAATAAATGTAGATTGTCTTTGTTTTTACAATTTAGAAGCTTTCTGGCTCTACCTAGTTCATGATCTATTTTATGACTATGAAATTATATGACTGAATCATAAGATGAATAGGCAGCAAAAGTATGCAGTTCTTAATATTGGTTTAATTTAATATGGACAATGGATCAGTTAACAAGTGTCTCCTTTTATTTTTCTGAACATGCTTTGATTTGGTAATAACCTTAAATCATCAGTCTGCTATTCTGCAAACTTGGGGATGAGGGGTGATGACGGTGATGCTGGTTTGTGTGTTTGTACATGTACATATACCTCTGTATACTTTTGCAAGTGTCATAACTGCAGTATTATTTTTACTGAATTTTGTTGGCCTCTTTTGGGAGTTAGGCTTTGATATTTGAATTTGGGTAGGGCTAGAGCACTAGGAATTTCCATTTACAATTGTAAAATAGAAGAAGAAAGTTTATATATTGATGCAAAACATTGAGTACTTCTTAGTAAGAGAACTCAATTGATGTGTGATCTTACTGAGAACAGTTGCAGTGGATACAACATGTACTGTTGCCACATCTCCTCTGATACCATGTTATTCAGCAAACATTTACTAAGCCCCAGTTGTGAGTAACCCACAGAGAAGGTAGAGAATTTGATTATACTCTCTCTCCAAGGAATATATATTTTCTTAACTTGTATTTCCCAAAGAGAATTAATAGGCAATAATTGATAAAAGAATGAGGTAATCAAATACATTTGGGAAATGATTAATCAGAGGTTAGCGAGGTGACTGTTAAAAAATAGTTTTCTTTTTAACCACCTTCCCACTCCTCATATAACTGTGAGAGACATTCTTTAGAAAACACATTAGAAAGTTAGGAGGACAATCCTGAGAATTTAATTATCTTTTATTCCAACTTCAAGAAGATTAAGTAGAGAAAATTAGTTTCGTCATTTAAAATATTTCTTTTGGTATTTACTGGCTTAAAAAGTTGATTTGTATGTGGACTCTTGGGATCCAGCCATGTCACAAGTTGAGTACTACCTTGTTTAAGTGTATGTCGTGAGAAAATGTTGAAACTTTGTAATATGCTGAACAGTCTGATGGTCTGTTTATATCACGTGGAAAATCCTACTGAAATTATACATTACTGGATAATCCCTGAATCAAAGAAGAAATGAAAAGGGGGAATTTAAACTATGTAAAAAGGAGAGGATACATTTATAACAACATAGTAAATTCATTATTCAAATAAAAACTTATAATCTTGAATTCCTTCAGTATTAAAGAAGAAAAACAAACTATGAAGGAACTTGGCACTTAGAAGAATTAGGAAATGAACAATAAGAAGGGAGCTGGGAAAAAAATAAAAAAGCAGAAATTAATGAAATAAACATTTTAAAAGGGTCAAATCCAAGTGCTTGTTCTTTTAAAAATAATATAATTTGGGGGCCTCCCTGGTGGTGCAGGCGGTTGAGTGCAGCACTGTGAAGCTGTCCACAGCCTCTGCAGTGCTGGTTCGATCCCCGCTGGCCTCGGAGCAACCCACATGGCGAGCAGACCTCTCCTGTCTCACTCACTGCTCCCCTCAGCAGTGTATTTCGTCAGTCTGCCTGTTCTGCTCCCCGGTCTGGCTCTGGCGAATCCTTTCACCCTCCCACGCATCTGGCCTGTACCCCAGCTCTTGTGTACATAAAATAAATCTTTAAAAATAAATAAATAAATAAAATATGATTCATAAGCCTTGATTCTTTTATTAAGTTAAAAAAATGCTAGCAAAAATATGCAAGGTAGGGAATGAGAAAGGGGACGCAAACACAAGATGCAGAGTATACTGAAAGAATTCTAAGAGACTATTGCATTTCAGCATATATGGCAAAGAAAAAAAAAGTAAATTAATGTTTCCTAGCAAAATCACCCCTGGTTATGGAAAGCTGTAATAAACTGATTCTTTAAAAGAGACTCAGTGGTATTCACAGCTGAATTTTATCCTATTTTTTATTTTTATTTTTTTAAAGATTGATTGATTGATTGATTGATTGATTGATACAAGCACTGGATACAGTCAGAAGCTCAGGAAGGTGAGAGAATTCACTAGAGCCAGAGCGGGGAACACAACTGGCAGACTGATGAAATACACTGCTGAGGGGAGCAGCAGGAGAGGTCTGCGCGCCATGTGGGACCATCGCCTACGGGGATTGAGCCAGTGCTGCAAAGGCTGCGGGCAGCTTCGCAGCCTAGCGCTCAACTGCTGCGCCACCAGGGGAAGCCCTGTCCTATTTTTTAAAAAACAGATACATTCAATGTTATTTAAATAATCCAAGTATAAAGGTGGAAAGTTCTCACACTTCTTAAATGGCTTTCTTTCTTTTTTTCCCTTCCAATAACATTTAATGAAGTAAAGTCAGTTTACATCACTGTATTTTTTAGGAGTTATAGACTTCTACAAATGTATTTTTTTTTTTTTTTTTGCAACATGCCTATCACCAAAGCCCCAGTAATCCTTCACCATGTTCCATTTGACACTCTCTTACCCTCTCACCTTCCCTGCCTGGTTGCCTCAGTTTTGCAGTCAGGTATTAGGGTTTTGTTATTCGCTTGGTTTTATCTGACGCTTTATTTTGTTTCTCAATATTCCACCTATCAATGAATCCATCAGGCATTTGTCTTTCTCCTTCTGACTTATTTTATTTAGCTTTATTCTCTGCAGTTCCATCCATGTTGTCACCAAGGGCAAGAGTTCATCTTTTTTGATAGTTGTGTAGTATTCCATTGTGTATATATATACTACATCTTTATCCATTTGTCTGTCCTTGGGCATTTAGGTTTTCATAAGGTGGCTATTGTAAATAGGGCTACAATGGACATAGGAGTACATATGTACATCCAAATTAGTGTTTTTGTGTTCCTCTGGTAGATACTTAGGAGTGGAATTGCTGGTAGATCTATTTTTAATATTTTCTCAAGATTCTTTAAGGAAGCCAGTACCATATCATTAATGCGAAGTTCTGATAGAGATATAGTACAAAAAAGGAAAACTATAAATAATTTGACTTGTGACAATAGATGAAAAAATTGAATTAAAATATTAGTAAATTAAATTTGTAGAAAAGGAATGAGAATAAACAGCAATATAGGACTTATTCTACCAGCTGCTCCCTCAGCAATGTATCTCAGTAGGGATGTAGCAATGTATCTCAGTAGCAATGTATCTCAATGTATGTTGTGCTCCCCACTCTGTCTCTAGTGAATCCTCTTACCTCCCGCACCTCTGGCCTGTACCCCAATTCTTGTATGCATAAATAAATAAAAATAAATCTTTTAAAAAAACCACCCTTGTCAGTCAATTGTACATCTTTATTTTAGCACTAAGTTATTTTCTTTCTCAGTAACTCTGACCCCTTTACCTGTCTATCCTTTGGAATCCATCATTGGCCATTTCAAAGGTACCCATTCCAACTCCTAGATTACTCTTTCACTTTTAGTTACACTATCCTTGCTTATTTGTAGCTCTTGGTAACTTTCACCATGAGCTTTATGTACTTCCATTTTCTAGCTAGTGGGGAAATCACAAAGCTAGTTCAGCACAGATTTGCCAGTTTGGGGTTGACTGAAAATGAATCATTCTGATGTTAGGACAGTTTCTTTTGTTCATTAAAAAAAAAAAAAAAAAAGGATTCTCAGCTAATATGTGTACCAGAGCTACCTGCAGAGCTTTGTAAAACTACGGTTGCCTAGATCTTATCCTTCAGCCCTAAAAAGAATAGCTCAATTAAAAACCTGAAGTTCTTTTGTATAACTAGGATTTAAGAACCCTTCTCAATCAAGTTTCTGGCAGCAGCTTTTTAATATGCTTCCTTTTATCCTCAGGTGCCAGGTTTCCTTTCTTGTCTATCTGCTATGAGTCTTTCTTGCTAGGTTTATACCTGTAGTTCCAGCTGCTCTACTTGAATGTCCTACTGTTTCCTGCAAAGCTTACTTTTCAAACTAGAGTTGTCTGTTCACTTCCAAATTTCTTTTATTGGTCCATCATTCTTCCAAATATTCTTTTTTTAAAAAAGATTTACTTATTCATGCATACAAGAACCGGAGTACAGGTCAGGTGCGCAGGAAGGTGAGAGGATTCACCAGAGACAGAGTGGGGAACAGAACAGACAGATTGACTGAAATACACTGCTGAGGGGAGCAACGGGCAACACTGGAGAGGTCTGCTGTGCCATGTGGGATTCTCACCGTCCAGCCAGGATCGAACCCACGTTGCAGAGGCTGTGGACAGCTTCACAGCGCTGGGCTCAACCACCTGCGCCACCAGGGGAGGCCCAATGTTTTTTTTTTTTAAAGATTTATTTATGCATCCAAGAACTGGGATACAGGTCAGAGATGCGGGGTGTGAGAGGATTCACCAGAGACAGAATGGGGAGCAGAACAGGCAGATTGACTGAAGTACACTGCTGAGGGGAGCAGTGGGTAAGTCAGGAGAGGTCTCTTGCGCCATGTGGATTGTTCCCTGGCAGGCCGGGGATCAAACTTGTGTTCAGTGGCTGCGGATAGCTTCATAGATTGCAGACAGCTTCATAGGTTGCATCTTAACTCCTTGTGCCACCAGGGAGGCCCCTCCCAAATATTCAAATTTAGGATCTTGGTCTCTTTTCTGAATCTTGTCTCATCCTTACCACTGGCAGTTATATCATCACTTACCTCCTTTTTCTGCCACTACTTGTTTTTCTGGTTTCCAACCCTAGAGTGTTAGATTAGCTCTCCACTTCTGCCCACCATATCTGCCAACTCACTGCCTGCAGAATATTCTTCTGTTACAGCTTTATGTCATTCTCCTGCTTCTAGAAGCCTCAAGTGACTGTGCCATACTGCAAAATAGTCTTCAATGCTTATACATTCGATACCCTTAAAAGTGTGGACTCAGTTCTACTCATTGAATTTATTTCCTATCACTTCCCTTAATATATATTAAACTATTTTAGAAGTAAGATGTGTAAGGAAAAGATTCTTTTGAATTCTAGTGCTGTCATAGGTGTGATGCTAAGCAAGTTACAAAACATCTTTGACCTTAGTTGTCTCATCTTTAAAATGGAACATAAAAGTAACTTTTTATATTTTTTTGTCAGAAGTACTTAAAATGCATAGTTTGCTTAGCATGAGGCCTGTTACATAGATGGCCTTGAAAATTTCTTAACTTTTCTCCAGTCTCCTCCAACTGCCCTGCTTAGATGTACACTCTCGCACATCCTTCCTTTTTCTGTTTCTTTGCTCGTGCCATTCTTTCTGCCTTTCCTCCTCTCATTTCCTGCTTTTGAAATCTTTTTTAACCCTTTTCATAAAGACTTCTTCTACCCATATCCATTCCAATTTTCCACAGTGTTTTGTCCCTCCTTTAGCATTTGTGAGTCCCTCACTGTCCTTTGTGTTACATTAACTAGTTCAAGTTTGTTCTTTCTACAACATAAATTGAAATCTCCTATAGGATATAATTATAATTATCTTGTTTTTTCCATCATTCCCTGCAAGCTACTTTGTTGTTGTTGTTTTTTTTTTAAGAATTTATTTATTTATTTATACAAGAACCGGGGTACAGGTCAGATGCACAGGCCAGATTCACCAGAGACAGAACGGGGAACAGAACAGGCAGACTGATGAAATACACTGCTGAGGGGAGCAGCGGGCGCGACAGGAGAGGTCTGTTGTGCCATGTGGGACCCTCGCTGGCTGGCCGGGATCGAACCGGCGCTGCAGAGGCTGCGGACAGCTTCACAGCACTGGGCTCAACCGCCTGCACCACCAGGGGAGGCCCTCCAGCAAACTACTTTGTAACCAGCAGGTTCTCAGTGAATTTGAACAAGCAGATTAAGACTAAGGATCACGCCTCCTTGTGAAGAAGTGAAAAAATAAGCCAATGTGCAATATCACTGAATGGTATGCTACAGAAATAAAGTAGTAGTTGAGTGCACTTGCCTAGAGAAAGAATTTCCTCACCAAATAAACAGGATTCCTGTGAGAAATAGGTAACTCTGAGTCTAAAATAGGAAATGTACAAATAGAACCTAGAAGATTTTGTCATATCACAGAGCAATGAAGCTAAGACTGCTGAGGTTCTTTTAGAACTTGATCACTTAATAAGTTACTTTCATATAAATGTTCCCGCTCTGTTCTTAATAATCAGTTTTATTGAGATATAATTTACTTAAAACACCAATTTACATGAATATTTTACACAAATAAATGAGTTTGTCAAATGTATACAATCACATATCCATCACACAACCATTTAATAATGGTATGGTATATTTTGATCACCTGCTTTTAGTTTATTTGGCAAACTAAATTACCTCTTTCAACCCATGGAAGACATGCTATCTGAAAAAGAGAGAAATAAAAAAATATATTATCTTTAAATGGGTGAGTGGAGGATGTCAGAAGATAAAGGAGGAAATAAGAGCTGTTGGAATTTGTTTACAAAGTGATTGTTGTAATGTTACATAAAGATGGGGATGGAAAAAGAAACAAATACCAAAAACAAAACCAAATTTTTAATTAATTTACTTATTTTAAAGATTTATTTTATCTATGCATACAAGAACTGAGGTGTAGGCCAGAGGTGTCTGAGGGGAGCAGTGGGCAAGACAGGAGAGGTCTGCTGCACCATGAGCTCCACGGGGTTAGCTCTCTGACTGGGGATTGAACTCATGTTGCAGTGGCTGTAGATAGCTTGATAGTGCTGAGACTTTAACTCCTGCACCACTAGGGAGACCCCAAAACCAAAATTTTAAATATAAACTGAAAACCTCAGATTTAAGTTCTACCAAACAACTCTGATGCTTAATAGCAGAGAGTTATAAAAGTAGTTTTACTTGTCTGATGTCTTGCTTTACTCATTTATAAAATGGGAAATTGAGTGGTATATTTATATTACAAGTTGTATTAAGCAGGACAGTAGAGTTTTGTGAAATGTGGACAGGAGTTAGAGGTTGGGGACAGGAGAAGTGGGAAAAGGGTTAATGTTTGTTTTTTTATTTTTTTATTTTTTAAGATTTATTTATACATTTATACAACCACTGGGTACAGTCAGAAGCGCGGGAGGGTGAGAGAATTCACCAGAGCCAGAGCCGGGAGCAGAACAGGCAGACTGACTAAGAAATACACTGCTGAGGGAAGCAGTCTGTCGCGCCATGTGGGACCCTAGCCTATGGCCGGGGATCTGTGGGCAGCTTCACAGCCCAGGGCTCAACTGCTGCGCCACTAGGGGAGGCCCTCAAAAAGGGTTAATGTTTTGTGTTTTTTTTTTAATATTTTATTTTATATAATTCTTACATCATTTTTCATCTTTGCATAACATATGTATTTTCTTTTTTTTTCCTTTTTTTTTTTTAAAGATTTATTTATCTATTTATTTTTATTTATACAAGCACTGGGTACAGTCACAAGTGCGGGAGGGTGAGAGAATTCACCAGAGCCAGAGTGGGGAGCAGAGCAGGCAGAAGGACCAAAGCACACTGCTGAGGGGAGCAGCGGGCGGCGAGAGAGGTCTGCATGCCATGTGGGACCCTCCTCCGGTAGCCGGGGAGCAGCCGGGGATCGAACCGGCGCTGCAGAGGCTGTGGGCAGCTTCGCAACCCAGCGCTCAACCGCTGCGCCACCGGGGAGCCCAACATATGTATTTTCATTATGGTTATATTCCCCATACAATTGCACACCCCCCCTTATTTTGACTCTAGTCCTTTCTCTCCCCGTCCCTTCCTTCCCTACCCCACTAGTGTGTCTCTGGTTTTATAGTTGCTTGTTGATTTTGATTTTTACTTTACATTGATTAGTCTTTTTCCTGGTCTTATTTCTTATTTAAGTTTTCTAAATTCCTGCTATGAGTGAGACCATCCAGTATTTTTCTTTTTCTTTCTGACTTATTTCGCTGAGCATGATCCTTTCTAGCTCCATCCATGTTGCTGCAAACTGCATATATTACTCAGCAATCAAAAAAAGAGTTAATGTTTTTAACTGGGAACTAGTTTGATGCTACAAGGTAGAGGAGAAAGTGCCTTTTCTTCCTTCAGTTGTCTTTCCATATATTCAGTTGACTTTTTATATATAGCTTTGGCAGTTGAGACACTTTTTGAAACAATTCTAATTCTACATTTTATTGTGATTCCTTTGAATAGGAATGAGTTTTTCCAATGGAATGAATATTGTTGTTAAATCACCAGAAATTATTACATTTCAGAATAAACTGTATGTTTGGATATGAGAGGTGCAAAGGTTTATATTTTTAAACAATTATTTTATTTACCTTATTTGTTTGTTTTAACCAGTTACCCATGGGTGTATTGTTTCCACAATAAAGCTTTTTCTACCAGATGGTATGGAAGCCCGGCTCCGCTCAGAGTGAGTATAATTTAGTGCTTTGAAGTTTTTGTATGAATTATATCAGTTAAGAATATCCTACATGATAGTATACAGTTATTACTTTTGGATTATTCTAATAATGTTACAAAACTGATGTAATACTTTTGGAATATTAATATACTTCAGTTTAATTGCTTTTCACTGTTATAATTCTAATGAATAAAAATGAATAAAAGGTATAGGTTATTTTGTTTCCAAAGTTAAAGTTAAAATTATAATTTATATTTTGAAATATAATTGTTGTTTTTTCAAAATATTTGGGGTATGTAATGGTGATTAATATCTGTATTCATTTTGACCTTTATTTAATATAGGCCTTACTAATGACTATGATTGTCTCTGAAATTAATGCTAGTTTCACAATCTTATAGGACCTTGAGAATGTTGATATGGTTAGTAGCCTGTTTTGGTGGGAGTTGGAGGAATTTACCAATATTGTAATTTTTTTTTAGCAATAGAAAGATCACTTATATGAGGATAACCTTGAAAGGGAAAAATCACTCAAAATGTAAATGTTAAAATATAAAAGAGTACATTTTGATCCTGTACTTTTCATAGGTTATCATTATAAAGTGTTGAGAGGAGATAAATAGTCTTTAAACTTAAGCATTTTTATTTTGAGGGGAAACCTTGAATATGCTAGAAGCTTTTTTCAGTAGCCAGCATACTAAAATGCTCTATTTTTCAAAGTCAGAGACCAAAGATCTAAGGGTGGGAGGTTCAGAGAAGAAATAGGTTGAAGGCAAAGTAGAATAGTGAGTAGGAAAGAGAGAAAAAAAGTGAGCAAAAGGGGGCCTTTCCAATTTGTTTCCTAGCCTAAATTATAGTTTGATTATTAAAAATACAGTAAAGTTTGGGAACTTTAGTGTGACTTAGCTTTTTTGAGTAGAGTTCAGATTTTAAAAACAAGAGTAACATAATCAACTAATGACATATGACTTCTAAAAGACATTGATGTTTGTATTTGATAGAGATTTTTCTTTCATTGAATCAGAATCTTTTAACAGTTACATACATAAAGGGTCGTCTGTATTCCCAGGTTATGTATAGTAAGGCATCTGAGTTTTTTCAAAATATTTCAGTGAATTACGTCCCTTTCTCTCTTGTTTCTCCAACTTTACCCTTTTTTCTTTTGCATTGTTTGGTTTCTCTTATGTGGTTAAATATTAGCATCATTTAAAATTGTTGCTGCCAATTTCATTGTATATAATTTGGCTGACTCTCTGGAGAAGATGAAGTTTGAAAAGGTAATTCTCTAGAGCTGGAGGAAGATCAAAATGGTCCTTAGAGGCTCATAGTCTGGTTCAGATCCCAGCTCCACATGTTGTTATTTGAAAATTGAAGTTAATAATCATGCATACTAAATAGGAATTTTATTAGAAGGATTAAACCAGATTAGATACTTAAAGAATTTAATGTAATATCTAACATGTGTAATAAGCACATGACAAATATTAGCTGTTTCTATTATTGTAAATAATATTTTTTAGGAATCAAGATGCTTTTGAGTGTGCCAGAATGCTTAGAATTTCAGTTATATTGTATATATATTCTCTAATGTTTTTAAGGTCTTTAGCAGATAGTTTCAAGAGCTGATTCTTTTTCTTCCTTGGTTTTTATTGCATAAATAATTTTCTCATGTTAAGAAACAAAAATTACCTATAATTGCACATGTTAATACTAAGTAATAGTTTTCCACATTCCCTTGTTGCTTGTGAAGTTTTTCCATAGTTCAAACAAAATACACCTATATCCAAGATAGTTTTTTGTTTTTGTTTTTTTCTGAAAAGATTTTATTTATGCATAGGAGGGGGTCAGTCTTTCTTGGCAGCCACCTTCCTCAGGGCAGCCAAGACATTGCTCACCTCCTCTCTCTTTCTCTTGGTACTGGTATGTATCCCCATCTTTTCTTGATAGAACTTGAGGACCCACTTGTCCTTGGAGATTTTGAGCAACTCCGTAGTGTGCCACTCATAGGGGGCAAAGCCTCACACCTCCTGGATCACGTCCAACACTAACGTGGTGTGCTTGGTGTGTGGTGGTGACCATGACACATCTTGCTCACATTCTTGGTCACCATGTGGCCCTTGTTGAGGCCTATAACTGTGGCCAGTGCAGAGCCATGGCTGCTACTATATAATGGTTGTTTCAGTGGAAGTCGTCAGATACTTTTTGTAAAATATAAATATCACGTATGGAATGTTTTGCTGGATATTTAGCCTTTTGTTTGTGAACTAAGTTTTCATGCTCTCTGCTCCTGCTACTCACTTCCACCCAGGTCTGGCTTCCTTCATTGCCTCTTGGTAGTGGTGGTAGTGATCAAGTTAAGTCCTACTATGTTCTACTGTGTCCTTATGCTCAAAATAACCCTGTGGGATTGATTTTATGGTTATTCCCATTTTATGGATGAGAAAACTGAGACAGTAATTAGATAATGTGCCAAAGATTACACAGTTGGAAAGTAGAACTGAACTTTGGGCCCAGTCAGTATAACTTGAATGCACTGGTACACTACACTGCCTCTGTAAATGGTGTATTATAAGGCTGAGAAGGTAATTAGTACCAATTAACTCTTTAGTGTTTAAAGTGATATGCTGAATTTAGTTTCATGCCTACATCTAAGCTCTCAGTTGTTAGTGTGTGAGGTGACTGGGCAGAGAAATCAACTGTTTTAATTAGCTTAAGTTGTTGACTCAGAACAATTTTCCAAATTATAGTATTCTTTCCAGTAGAACTTTGCTTTTTTAAGATTTTCTATATGGAAATATTTAATTTTGAAAGAACTTATATTTTTTTTTTAAAGATTTATTTATGCATACAAGAGCTGGAGTACAGGTCAGAGGTGTGGGGGGGTGAGAGGATTCACCAGAGACAGAGCAGAGAACAGAACAGGCAGAATGACTGAAGTACACTGCTGAGGGGAACAGCGGGCAAGACAGGAGAGGTCTGCTGCACCATGTGGGTTGCTCCCTGGGAGGCCGGGGATCAAACTCGTGCTGCAGGGGCTGTGGATAGCTTCATAGGTTGCACCTCAACCCCTTGCGCCACCAGGGACACCCCGAAAGAACTTATTTTATACATTAAATAGTTAATTATGTCTCAACAGACATTCACTGCATTTTGAGTTTTCAATTAGCATTTAGGTAGGTTTGTATATTTATTAACTTGTTTTCTATTCTGTACTACATCTTGAAAGATTGAAAATTGCTTCACAGTTTTTTAATAATACAAAGGCAAGTATGTCAACTTTAGGGCTTAAGAGATTCTAGTAGTCATATTCTATTTCCTCTGTTGGCAGGAAATTAGATAAAAGTTCTAAATTTTACTTTTCAGTGTCATCCATGCTCCATTACCAAGTCCTGTTGACAAAGTAAGTTGCTAATGATTATTTTTTCCAAATGCACTCAGTTATTGCTTTAAAAAATGTTTGTTTTTAATGTCCTTTACCTAGAAACTTAACTCTCTTTTGTAACAAAATATATACAGTGCATAGAGAGTGATATAATTGTTCTAGTCTTCTATTCTTCAATATATGGAGAAAATTAAGATGGATTTTTCTTAGGAAAAAAACCTTTTGTTATCTCAAGTAAATGAATGATTATGGAGTACTTGGTTTTTGTCTAACCAGTGTTAGTTACTACATCTTTATTTTGTAATACAATTCTATATAAAAATATTTATTAAAGCTTGCTTCTCAGATAGTTCAGTGTAATACCTACACATGGCAATAACATACATGTATGATTTATAGAAATTGCTGTCTTTATACCTTGAAGATCAGTTTTAGCTTAAATTGGTAATGAAGAGACTTTAAAAATATTTTTCCTTTTGTTCAGAAGTAATGGTGTAGTAAACCACAGATGTCTGCTACATAGCAAAAAATACATCGTTGACACTAACATGTATTTTTTTTTTTTTTGGTACAGTGACTAAACTACTAGGCAAATTATCTTACCTTTTTTCACCTACGTTTGGATAAAGAATGAGAGCCTGCTTAAAATACAAATTCTGTGTTAGATTCCTTTTTTAGAGGTTAAAGGGGTTAATCATTGAGTTCAGCAATACTAAGAACTATTTCAGAAGTAAATAATAGCCTTGCCAATTTAGGACTAATTTTCAAATATAATGCCACCTAATTTTGAAAAATAATGCCACCTCTCTTTCAGTTAGCAGATTAATAAAAAATATACTTTCTGAGCTTAAAAAAGAATGATCCTGTTAACATCATTAATAATTTATGGCCTTGATAGTGTTGAAAATGTGCATAAATGTTAAGGCTACTTGACAGTGCTCCTCCCACCCCCATTTTTGAATAATGCCATAGTTGTTGAGTTCTAAGCATTTTGCCTGTGATTTGTAATATGTAAACACCATTATTCTACACCTTTTTCTTCTTAAAGCATACTAATAGTTTAAAGAAAAAATTGACAAACTCTTTTCATTGCCTCTGGTCATAGAACAGAGAACCAGAAGATGGCTACTTTTAAATGAATTGTGATTTTTTTTTAACATATTGAAGAACTATTTAACAATGAATTTTAAAGGAGAAAAATGTAGATATATTGATTTGAAAGTTATTATTTCTGGATTAAGAAAAGCTATATTGCCTTTGTGCTATAAATTTGTGATTTGGTTTATCAAGGAATATTTTTATGAGTAGCACTTGTTCCATCACCCTGCTTTTAAATCTTTAAGTAGTCAGTATAGTAATGCCTTTTGCAAATTCTAGACAGAAATATTTAAAAACCTAGAGGAACTGAGTAATTTGAAAATTAATTTTTACTTTGTATATTTAAGCAAATAGGCATTTCATGTACTTGACTTGTCTGTAATTTCTGTAATGAATATTTTACTTCACTATTGAGACTGTGTCATTTTATTTCTAGGTTGCTGCTAACACTCCAAGTATGTACTCTCAGGAATTATTCCAGCTTTCTCAGTATCTACAGGTAAAAGAAAATCTTGAGAATTCTTAATCTTTAAAAGCAGAATTAAACAACTTGGGTTTGATTTTTTTGTTCGTTTATAAATATAGTCCAAAGACATACTGTCTGAACACAACTGCAAAGATAATATATTTCAAAATCAAAGAAGACCAAAAATAGGCCTTTATGAAGAAAGGGTAGAAACAAGCAGAATTGAGTTGTTAAGATAGAGAAGATACAATTCTGTACAAGAAGTTTTTTTTACTTCAAATATGAAGAAGTTCTAATATCGTTCTTTAGCCATACATGACTTTCAAAGAAAATTAAACCTACAGAGATTTTTGTTGTTAAATATATTAATAGCAAATAATTACATGGAATTATTATATGTCAGATTCTAATTTAATACTTTATATTAATTTATTTCATCCTCATAACAGTCCTCTAAGGTACATGTTTTATTCCAATTTTTACAGATAAAGTAACTGAGAGGAAGGAAAGTTAAGTAATTTATGTAGTATTGCATACCAAATATGTGGTAGAATCGGGATGTGAACCCAGACAGTCAGACCTCAGAGTCTCTGCTCTTTTAACTGTTATGCTGGGCTACTCAATCTATATAAAAATATTTCTTGATCGGGCAAATAATTGAATGGCCTTCTGAATAAGTTAATGAAAGACATATTTAAAGAAATGTCTTTAAATATTTATACAACTTTCTTTAAAAAAAAGTGGAGCTGAATTGTGATAGATTTGAGCTTATTATTCTGGTGAAGGAGAATATTAAGGGACACCCTAATAGAGACTGAGGTTTTGGTCTTGGCTTTTTTTTTTTTTTTTTTTTGTCTTGGCTCTGCTACTCAATTAGTTCTGTGACCTTTGCTGAGTCATTTTACATGTGTAGGTCTTTGTTTGCCTTTTATTTAAAATGATCAGCTCAGCTCAGTGATCCTGCGTCCTTCCATTCTTTTATTAAAATCAGTCACTAAGAGCTGTTTTACCTCATTTTAGAACCTCACCTCTTCAGATAAACAGGAAATTATCATTATATAGTAAAGCAGATTTACACACTTGCAATTAAGTAGAGTATTAAAAAGCTTAGACTCTAGCCTAGTGGACCTGTGGTTTTGACCTGTGGTTTTAAGTTCTGATCTGTTAGAAAATTTGTCTAACCCTTTTTGCCTCATTTTCCTCGTGTATGATATATATATAACAATAGCACTAGGCACACACAGAATTATGAAGAATAAATTAATGTATTTGGAATGCGTGGCACATGGAATGTATGCCATAATTATTAGTAGTTAGCTAACTATTTCAATAGGAAGACACATTAATTGACCTAGATATCTTATTTTTAGAGGTGGAAAAAAACTGAATTTAATCTGATCTAAACCTTAATTTTCCATATGAGAAATATGGGATTCATATAGGTAAAAGATTTCCCAAGGCTATATATATATATGCTATTGTTATAAGTCATCATGGACTATGCATGTAAAATTCTAACTCATTCCTGTACTCTTTCCAACTTTCTTGTCAGTTCTTTGAAGATTCATAGTAGTTATAATCTGTCACCATTCTCTTTTCAAATTCTTTGAAAAAATTTGCTTGCCTTAGAACTAAAACATTGTTCCTGGAGGTGTTAGATTTCTTTTGGGATGTGGTTCATGGAGTTATAAAACTAAATGGAATTGAGTAGAAAAGGTGAAATGGTACCATCTAGTGGAAGTAGTGGTTGTTTGGTGGTTTTGTTTTTAAGTAAAACTTTTGCAGCATTAGTGTAATTTCCTGGATATTAGAAATATTTTAGAAGCTTGAAATAAACTTGGTAAGTATTTTTTAAATGTAAGCTGGGTTTTAATTTGACTTCTGAGGAGGTATGGCTTTCATTAGATTCCTTAATCTATATTTTAGGCTGTATTCAAAAACAGTACTTCTAACTCTGATTAGACCTGATTTTCCCTAATCATTATTTATTAAGGATGTGGAGAGCAATAAATGCATGCTTTAAACCTTAAGTACTATTTGAAATATACACTTCTCTGTTGAGGTGGCTCAGAGGTATTAAGTATTAGGTAAGTGCCCTTCTTTGGATAATGACAGAAATAGAAGAAAGGAAATAGTAATGATGCGCCAAAACCACAAATGAATGCTGGGTGAGCATTTTCACCTTGACTTTCAGTGAAGGAGACCCTATTAACAGCTATCAAATGTTAACAAGTGACCTAGAGATAAGGCTTTGCTCACCAATGTCTTGTTCTATAAAAATATTCCTTTGGGGCTACCAGATAGTTATGTAACTCCTTGACTACTTTATTGCATTAAACCAGCATTTGGTGGACTTAACTTACTTTTGGCATTGCTGCTAAGTGGTATATAATCACAAAGAGAACCAGAACACATAAAAATGCAATAGGCTATGCCAGTGAAGCCGTCTCTCTTTAAACATTTTCAAAAGGAAAAATTAATTCTTGTGAATTATGAGCAAAAAAAAAAAAAATGATTCTTTTTCTGTTTTAGGGGAAATTGCATCTAGAGCACCCCTAACAACAGTACTTACAGCCCCGCAAATGGGGCTAAAATGATGTAGACTATATATATTTTACAAAGTAGATTTATCAAGTTTGACAACAAGATACAAAGTGAGATATGAGAATATTTTCAGAATGTGCTAAAATTGCTTACTCTTCAAAGGAATCATGATGAGTGTTTTTAATAATATTTTCTGACTTATAATCTTAGGAGGCCTTACACCGGGAACAGATGTTGGAACAGAAGTTAGCCACGCTTCAACGGCTACTAGCCATTACCCAAGAGGCTTCAGATACCAGTTGGCAGGTATTCCAGATGCCTTTATACTCAAGAAATTTTAAGAATAGTTTAATATCACTTAGATATTAAATAAACTAAAATTTTGTTCTTTATTTCTTATGGAAGAAATATTGAAAATTTAGCATTTTACAGTGGATGTTCAGTTTTATGATTTTCTTTCTTTTTTTGGCAGTAGCAAAGTTTTTGGATATATGTTATTTTTGTTACTCTGGATTTTATTTATATTTAATTTTTCTCCAATAGGCTTTAATAGATGAAGATAGACTCTTATCTCGGTTAGAAGTTATGGGAAATCAATTACAGGCATGCTCCAAAGTAAGTATTAATTTCAAGTGCATAAAGAAAACTGCTTTATGTATATATAGCTTTACTTTGTCATTTTGAGAATATGATAAAACATTTTACCATTCTTTCAAGTCTTTTGTAATTATGGAAAATTTCAAACATGTAAGTAGAAAGAAATTGTATAGTGAAAACCTGTGTACCACACTCTTTCTCTTTTTCATCAGTCAACATTTGTTGGATAAACTGAGTCATTTGTCCTTTATAATTTCCCTCAACCTCAATTGCTATTTAAACATTCTCTAACTGCTCCTTCCATACCATACATTGGTAGTTTGATATAGAGATTTGATTTGATTTGGGTTCAGCCATTTTTTTTTTGGCCAGGAACACTTAAGTCATGGATGGTATTATGTACTTTCGTTAAAAGGCACCACAATGTATACTTACCTTTCTTTTTGAAATACTAACAATTATGATGATCCTCGCCCAGGTCCACTATTTTATTAAGGTTTACAAAAATGGTGATGCTGTAATTCCATCATTCCATTATTTACTAGCTGAATTACTTCTATAAAGAGAATCTTCCCTCTCATAAATCATTTAGTTATCCTGAGGTACATTTCCTTTATTTACTGAATTTCTTTCTTTATTTACTGGCTTTAAAAATAATGAATTGGGGCCTCCCCAGTGGCGCAGCGGTTAAGCACTGGGTTGCGAAGCTACCCGCAGCCTCTGCAGCGCCGGTTCGATCCCTGGCTGCTCCCCGGCCACTGGAGGAGGGTCCCACATGGCGCACAGACCTCTCCTGCCGCCCGCTGCTCCCCTCAGCAGTGTACTTCGGTCTTTCTGCCTGCTCTGCTCCCTGTTCTGGCTCTGGTGAATTCTCTCACCCTCCCGCGCTTCTGACTGTACCCAGTGCTTGCATAAATAAAGAAATAAATAAATCTTTAAAAAAAAAAAGAATTGGTTCCTTCTCATCCACTAAAGAATGATCATGAAGTGTTTATTCTCTAACTTCAGTATAAATATATTTCATGTGTTTTGACATGTTCCAATTTTTTTCTCATTGATCCTCAAATTACCCCATGTTTGGACAATAAGAACTTCAGTTGAAGCCCATATCTTTTTGATAGAACCCTAGCTGACTTCAGTAACTTCACATTGTCATGTCACACAAATTGTTCCAGACTTATCTTGTACATTTCTTGTCTCAGAACTGGCTTTTAATTCTTGGTTTACCCATTGTTTTAAAATTCTTGACTCCCTTGAAGGTAATAGATTACTTTCCCCCCAAAATGGAAATACTGTGGCTTATGGAGAATAAGACTAATAGGGAAGTAATTTGTTTTGTGTATTTGAAAGATATTCTTGATTTCTTCTGACATTTTTTTTCTGTTGGGAGTGTGAAACATATTTGTGAAGGCATAACTTACTAACTTTTAAATACAGCTTCAATTTTTACAGGGCCAGCATTACTTGAAGGTACCTTATATGGAATTCAAAGAGTATTGTAATGCATTATTATTTCAAATGGTAAATACTTAAAAAAATAACATGGCTATAATTATAAATATCTTTTAATCCTAGAATCAAACAGAAGATAGTTTACGGAAGGAATTAATAGCATTACAGGAAGATAAACACAACTATGAGACGACAGCCAAAGAGTCCCTGAGGCGGGTTCTTCAGGAGAAAATTGAAGTGGTTAGAAAACTTTCAGAAGTTGAGGTATTTCAATTTAACAAATTCTAAATGGAAATATGTTTTTCAAATTTTGCCCGAACATTCGTAGATTCTAGGACATTTTAAACTGAGATATTATTATATAGCCAGAAAGTATTTCCATCTATCCAATGAAAAGATGCATTATGCCTTCATTGTCAGGAATTCTCAACATAACCATATGAGTTTTGATGCTTATGATCCCTAGTCAATAATTGAAGAATAAAAGCCTAACCAGGGAATCTTACTGTTTGCAGTCTGCTTAGGAGTCAGCCACCATACAATGGTGCATGATATGAGCCAGGGATTTGCTTTTCTAGTAATTGAGAATAGTCATTATAAAATAGAGAACCTACACTACATGTTCTCACTTTACCCACCCTCCAGAGAGGGAAAAACTATGTCTTAACTTTGGAGGTTTAAAGATGACATTATCTCTAAGGTTCTTTCTAGGTCTCTTAGAAATAATCAAAATGTGATTCTCATTATTTAAAAAAAACAACCTAATCAAAGTAATCATTCATTCCTTTGAACCATTGCAAAACTACCACAGAAGATATCTGTTACTGGGTTTCATTAAATGCTCATTATAACTTATATAGTAAACACATCTAGGTAAAGAGATAGTTTTTATAATAGCTCCATCATATAATGAATGATTTATTGCCATTAAGTTGACATAAGGAAATAAAGTCTAGCTGTCCTTTTTATTAAATTAATTGCTGTATATTATTAAACTTGCTTTAAAAAATTGATAGACTTAAACTACATTTTCAAGGCCAAAAGTCATGTTCATTTGCTTTAAAAAGTATAATTATATAAAGGTAACTTCTTCCTCACTCCCCCTTTTCTTTGTTTCAAATCCTTAGTTGTATTTTCTGTGTTAGCATATACCTGAGGGAAATTGAAATCCTTATGTTATTTAACCCAGCCTTATATAAAGTTAAGGGCAGATGTTGATTTAGAACAGCCCATAATTACACTTTTCAGACTGTGCCTTTATTCTAAATCCATCGCCTATAAATTTGAATTGCAGCGAAGTCTGAGTAATACAGAAGATGAATGTACCCACCTGAAAGAAATGAATGAACGGACTCAGGAAGAATTAAGAGAACTAGCCAATAAATATAATGGAGCTGTTAATGAGATTAAAGATTTATCGGATAAATTAAAGGTATGTATTTACCCACCTTGAGAGATTGTTAATTGTCCCTAGCAAACTGGATAGCTTAAGATTTTAGGTATTGTTGAATAGCTGTTGATGTAAAATTTGGTAATGATTGAAATGTGTGGAGAGGTTAAGAAACAGGTATTCTATTTAGCCCAAACCTTATTACCACAGATAATTGAAAGTCTGGAAAACCTGACCTCTTTCCTCTGGATGGAAATAAAATGGCAGTATTTCACAATAGGCATCTTTTAATATATAACACAAAGCTGCAGACGAAGCAGCAAAACCCAAGATATTCAGACATTTTTTAGAAAATTGAATCTTTTTAGCATTGGACACTTTTAAAAACAAGGATCCTCCATTTTTGTGCTGGAACAAGCCTAGAGGGAGCCCCCTTGGAGAGATACAGAATGCTTATGGCTTCTAGTAATACTATTGACTCCGCTTCAGTTGCAGCTCCCTGTAGCTATGGGATACTTAGGATGAGGACAGAGCAAATCATAGGGCAATGTCAAATTGGTCCTTTAAAATTTTATAACTGAGTTTGTGAAGACTCACTTTTTTATATTATTCAAATCATGAATTAAGTGACTAGAAGACACATGCATTTGATGGAGAATAACAGAGTATACCTTCCCTCTGTGTGATTGGTTAAGCTATAATAGTTTTAAAGATTAACTTTATTAAAAGAAGGTTGTTTTGAAAAGTGCTTGTAGCTGTTATTCCTTTAGCTAAGTGTAATTTTGTTTATAATTTCAGAATAAGTTAAATTTTAGAATCCATAAACTAACTGACATAATAGTAATTTTAGAGGAAAACTGTCCCTCTTTAAAAATGTAGAGATTGGGCCTCCCTGGTGGCTCAGGCGGTTGAGCACCGCACTGTGAAGCTGTCCACAGCCTCTGCAGCGCAGGTTCAATCATGGCCGGCCGGCGAGAATCCCACATGGTGAAGCAGACCTCTCCTGTCTCGACTGCTGCTCCCTTCAGCAGTGTATTTTGTCAGTCTGCCTGTTCTGTTCCCCGCTCTGTCTCTGGTGAATCCTCTCACCCTCCTGTACATCTGGCCTGTACCCTGGTTCTTGTATAAATAAATAAATAAAATAAAAAAAATGTAGAGATTTAAATTTTCACTCTTTTAGCTCTGTGTACACAAAACCTGGTTCTTGCTCCAAGTTTTTTCCTCCTAGGTGATATGGAAGCATGATCCTAATGCAAATCACTTTTACATCATTTCACATTCACAAATATGTTACATAATAGTGAATTTTCTCCTTGGAGCTTTACGTGAATAAAAGCAGTACTGGTGTAAGACCTCTAATACAACCAAGTTTTATTAATTAACTGAACTTTTTTTCTTTCCAAACAGGTAGCAGAAGGAAAACAAGAGGAAATCCAACAGAAGGGACAAGCTGAGAAAAAAGAATTGCAACATAAAATTGATGAAATGGAAGAAAAAGAACAGGAGCTCCAGGCAAAAATAGAAGCTTTGCAAGCTGATAATGACTTCACCAATGAAAGACTAACAGCTTTACAAGGTAAGTTCATTAATCCAGAAATGATTTGATTTCATTTTTTTCTTTTTATCTGTGAAATATCTTTTTCTTGGACTTTTATTTACAGTACGGTTAGAACATCTTCAGGAGAAAACTCTTAAAGAATGCAGCAGCTTAGGTAGGTGTTATCAAATTTTTTACTTAAAGCTGAATTTTATTAAATTTTTGACATTTACTATGTCACATTGGGTACTTATTTTCTTGAAGAGGGATGTTTTTACATGTTATTAGATGTAAAGTATCTATATACACTCTTGAGAAATTTCTTAAGTGTATGCTGATTGCCACCAGTGGGCACCATTGTTTAATCCTTGAAATGAATGAAATTTCTGCATCTGAGAAGTTCTACTTAGACATATTTAAATAAGAAAAAGATAAACAGTGGTATCCTTTTTCTTTGGAGGATCATTGGAAGGCTACTGTATAGTTATGGCTTTTTCTTTGTGTTGATAGAAAATACTATTTTCTATGAAAACCAGTTAAACCCATCTTGTAAAAATAAATTTAAAGCGTTCTATTCAATCTTAATGTACATAGGAATACAAAATACCATGGTTACACTTGAGACCGGTTTTAAAGTGATACTTTCTTTGATCAGGCAATGATACACTGTCTTAATCCTAGGGATACAAGTTGATGACTTCTTACCTAAAATAAATGGGAGCACAGAAAAAGGTAGTGTAAAAAACTTAAATTTATTTTTCTTTCATGGCATCCTTTTACTATTTAAGCAGGATAGAGAGGTTAGGGTTTTAAGTGTTTGGAATGAAAAGCATGCTGTTCATAGATCATTGAATCCTCTTTTAAAGTCAGTCTTCCCTTTATTTTGTGATTCATATGCATTATCTATAGTTAGATATCCCTTGTTATATGGAAGTTTCAATTACTCAATAATGAGAAAATGCTGAAGTTCAACTTTAGCATTGATATATAACAATATAGCTTTATTGTCCCCTCACTATATTTAAAAAAAAAAAAATGATGCTGCCATTTTCTTCCCTCAAGTACTACTTTCTGGAGAAAATTGGCCCCCATTTTTAATATTATGCCCTAATACCTCCCTTGTCAAGAGTTTATGTAATATCTCGTTAGTCTTTGGATTTGTTATAGACACTGCTATCTTTATCCATCTTTCATCAATTAGAAAAAAAGGGTCGTTTCTGTTATCTAAAATAACATTTATTAGTTTGTGGTACTATGACCCTTCTTTCTGGATAGGTTATCTCTAGCTAAAAATGTATATCCACTATTGGTTTTTTTTACTGCTGTCTGTGATACTTCTTATCCAATGACTTCTATATACTTTCAGTCATGAAATGAAGATCCTTACTCACCTCTCTCCCTTTCCTATCCAGTCAACATTAATTGAGCACCAACTACGTGCCAGAATTTGCATTTAGATGATCAGAATACAGAACGATTAGAACTGTTTTCTGTGTTTAACAATCTGTGTGCCTCTCATTTCAGTTTTTTTGTAGAAGTTAGTGGGAGATACTAAGAACATTTCTCAGAACTCCTTATTAAATTTTTTTTCCATGTATCAGGGGATATCTTTATACTTCTTAGATAGCAGAGCAAACTTGGATAGTAACCAAACTCTGATACAAAGTTAGGAAGTGCTTTTATGTTATTTGGTTTATTTTTAATTAAGAACTGGCAAAATAAGCTCAAATAATCATGTATTTGTGAGCTACAAGGTCAAGACCTAAGATTGCACATATAGTGAAGTTTGAAACTTTAAATTAAAAAAAAAATTAGTTATTGTTCTTTGACTGTTCTGTGTTTGAACTCTAGCTTGGTTGAGTTTCAGTTTGAGAATTTTTAAAGGTGTAGTCATTGCAACAAAATTACTAATTTCTGTTTATTAAGTATATTTAGCAAACATTTAAAATGATGTGATGACCTAAAAACTTCATCCTCAAATGAATTTATATTTTCTGTTGTCGTTATTTTGGCTTTTTTCTTTCTGGCATGTATACCATTTTTTATTCAGATCTATCACCCTTTGATTTGAGCATGTATTTATTAATGTTAGTGTTAACTTAAGCTGGTACCATTTTTTTTTTTTTTTTCAGTTAAAAGTGAACTATTGTAAACACCGAATCAGTTAGCTACACTGAACTATCTTTATACTAGAGTTGTCAAATTTCTACTTACATTCTTTACCAATTCCCATTGATTTGGATGAGAATTATTGTAAATAATTCCTAGAGTTAAGATTAAATGAGGTGTTTTGGATACTTTAAGGTAATCCTTACTATAATTATTTTTTTCTTGCTAATATGTTTGTTTTTTTGGTGACTATGAATTGAGTAGCATGAGAACAATAATATAATATCCTCAAAGTAACTGGGTACTAACAATCTGTATATACACAAAAGTTTCATTACATCAAATTTGGCTACAGAGTAGATTTTGGAATAAGATGGGTCTATTCTGAATCATTTGTGGTATAATCACAAACCAGTTTTTATGGAGTACAGTATTACTGAAGTCCATAGCTATGATGTATTATCAGATTGATTTTAACTAAAATTGTGTTTTAAATAGAGAACCAAGTGTTGTTGTAAGAGAGTATTTCAAAAATGTTTAGGTATTAAGTTTAATAATTCTCCAGTAAATTCCATTTTCAGTATTTCTTAAATCTGTAATAATTGCTATAAGCACAGGTTTTTCCCTGTAAATTTTCTGTATCTTATCTGTAAGAATAATTTGAGTATATCTTAGAGAGTATAAAAAAGCACTCTCTTACTAGAAATAATGAGAACCATGTATCGAATTTTTATAATTCTGGTAGCCACGTTCTGGTATAACGTTAATATTATAGATAGAAACAGGTAAAAATGTTAATAATATATTTTATTTAAACTATTATATCCAAAATGTTTCAACATATAATTAACATTAAAAGATTATAAATGAAGTATTTCACATTATTTTTTCCTTACCAATTCTTTTAAATTATTGTATATTTATTTTACACTTACAGCACGTCTCAGTTTGAACTAACCACTTTTTAAGGAGTCAGTAGCCACATGTGGATAATAGCTGCTGCACTGAACAGTACAGATAAAGAAAATAAAAAATGGTAGAAAAGTCATATCTACAAATATATATATATATACACACACACATATATAAACATTTTATATACCATGGTTCTCTGTTATGTTTCTGTACCTATCCTTTTTTATTTTTTAATAAAATATCTACAGCCCTATTAGACCCCCATGCAATAAGTATCTAATTTCTTTTGAATTATCAGTAATATCTTTTATAGTTTTAACAAAATGAATTCCCTAGGGCCTAAATTCAGGTACTGGAGTATAAAAGTATTATGATCCCTATCCTGTACTTATACTGAGTCATTATATGTTTAGGAATGCCTTTGTGGAAGTCATGTGTATATATATGTCTTTTTATATTAACTACCATTTTATCTGAACTAATATAGTAAATATTTTAATGTAGAGTTCAGATATTTAAAACAGAGCAGATAAGTGAGTGATTTTTGGCTTGGTGAGTGATGGTGGGATATCTTGCATTAATTTCATGTGAAGCCCTGTGATGTTTGTCTGAAACTTGCTTTCAAATAAGTTTATAAAGTCTTTAGTTAGGTTAAAATTTGATTTCAGATGAGTTTTCATATTTAACAGTGACATTGTTTAGTCTGAGTTTTGAAAATATTATCAATAGCTTGGATAGGATTATGGAAAAGAACTTTATCTTGGTAATTACGATTCAACTAAGAGCTCTTGTTTTGGATTTCTTGACTCCAGTTGGTAAACGTTATTTCTTATATCTATGATTTTTGTTTCAAATTTCTGTTGCAGTTGGCCTTTTTTTCTTGGGAATGGGGAGGTTACATTGTATCTCTGTATATAATATTCTAAGTATGTAATGCATTGGTTTCTCCAAAACATGAGTTTTATCAGCCTTTTTCCTGTATGTTTTTGTTTTATATTGACGGTAACTTAAACTGAAACTCTGCACCCCTTGTGCAAAGCCCTTATTGTTAAAGGATAATGATAGATTTGGGTATAAAGGTAAAGAAGAAGACTATTAGTAAGGATGTCAAGAGAGGTTGATTAGCAACCAGAGTAGGGGGTGACTTTCTCCCAAGCAAGCAAAGTTGAAATGATTAGGGGTGAGGTAGATTGAAATGGAGAAAAGGAAAGAGACCTTTAAGGTCAGAATGTTACTAACTCCTGTCCTGCTTGATAGACTGTAGTGCTTTCATACCTTCTAGATTGTCATGATGTTGGAGTATATTTTTAACACTTGAACTTCCAGTCTGTTGGTGGTTTGAAAAGATATATATTAATTGAAAGATGTTATTCAGATTCAAAATTTAACTCTTTGAGTCAAAGTGAATAAAGATTATTGAAAGGGTTGAAACTTGAAACTACTGTGTTATATTTGATTCTCTGCACCCATCTAAAAGAAAAACGAAAACAATTTCTACTTCACCTGAGCAAATCCATTTACCAATCTCTTATTTTAAAATGTAGAGTTTTTGCTTTTAAAAAAAATCATTTGAGTTAAGATAAACAATGTCATGTTTTTATTGTATGTGAAGTACAGATTAAGTAACTCAAAAGAGAAGACTATATGTGAAATGAAAGTAAAAATTAAAATACTGTATCTAGTTTCTTTGAGAGTTTAAAGAATTGTAATAGTATTAAAGCATTTATCTTTTGCCTCTTAAGGGAATAGCTTTGAAGAGGGTGTGGTAGAGAACAGTCACTTGAAAATTAATTCAGTAGGAACAAAAAAATAAAATTACTTAAGGGTATTTATTAAGTGCTAGTGGAGAAAGTATTTTAAAAGTGGGAGAAGTAATATATTTCTATGGTTTTCTTGAGTTCTTTGTGTAGAAATGGCTCCTTTTAAAAACTAACCATTTAGGGTGCAAATTAATAATTATGTAATTATAATTTTCAGTCTTTTAATATTAACTCCAAAATATATCTCGTAGTATTAAAATATATCAAATTTTTATTAATCTTATTTAGCATTATCCATGTTAATATAGTTCAGTTTTCCTACCTTTGCTGTTGGTTTTTCAAAACAGCAATAAACTATATCCTTAAAGGTGTTTCTTTCTTTATTAGAGCACTTGCTTTCAAAGAGTGGCGGGGACTGCACTTTTATTCATCAATTCATAGAATGCCAGAGTGAGTACAGAGTATTTTTCACATTGATTTTAATGCAGTCAGAAATTAAAATTGAAAAATTACAGGAAAAATGAAGGTCTTAATGTATTTGTTATGGCAAAGAAGCATAAAAGGGCCATCTTAAGACATCAATGATCCATTTCATGTTGTTTCTGTTTCTCTCTTTTGAGAAAAATGGTATTACTGTTGCATTTGGCTTCATAGATGAAAGTGAACATTTAATATTGCCTACAAAAAAGAGGAAGTTTCAGCCTTGTTAATTAAAAATTATTATTGAGAAGAAAACAAAATAACATGTAAAGCATCTAAAACTTCCTTGTCAATACTTAAAAGATAGTAATTACAGTTTTACTTAAGCTTAGTTCTATCACAGATTTGGATTTATGGTTCCTTCATATGTTTCTTAAAAGTTTAAATGAAGCCACAAAACAATTTTTTAGTTTGGGCACTCAGATATGAAGATGGCCCTTGGATAGCAAGAGCTTTCTAAGGAAAGAGTAGTAATAGATTAGCCTCCAGTCTGATGTCACCTTACTTTTGGGAAGTTGTACAAGGCTGTCTTTAATAATATTTTTAAGCTAGACAGATAGGTTGGCTTTTGAGGTGATTATATCTGCTGAATTCTGAACAAAGGTATTGTGAATTCTTACTTGAAAAATCAAGTGACTACTTAAGTCTTAACAATTGAGATTGTGACATTCTCTTGGTCTTGTTAGTGACAATAAATGGTCACTGTGTTAAGTTTTTTGGTGATATGTGTACTTTTTCCTATCAGACACACACTTTGTCCAGCATTTTTTTCCTGCCTGTGCACTCTCATTTTGAAATGAGTGGTTTTCCAAATTTTCGTTCATATATTTATTTTGTGGGTGTGCACATATATGTGGCTTCTTATCCCCAAGCCCTCCACAGTGACAGGAGCACTTGGGTTTATAAGGGTCACCCTCGGTTGTTATAGCAGAGACAAACTCAACAGATCAAATGTATTCTTTAGAGTTACTTTAAGGAAACCTAGAATTTCATTTAGTAGTTCTAAAAGAACTTCTGTTTCTATTTTAGAGACTATAATGGTCAATATAAACTGAATGTCATTTTGAAGCAAATTATTTTAAAAACATGACTTATTTCTTTGTCTTTTAAAAAGTTTCCAAAAAGCGGGCCCCCCTGGTGGTACAGGGGTTAAAGTTTCAGCTATCAAGCTGTAGCCAGCACTGCAGCATGAGTTCAATCCCTGGCCACATGGTGCAGCAGAACTCTCATCTCTTGCCCGTTGCTCCCCTCAGCAGTGTATTTCAGTAGATCTGTCTGTTCTGTTCCCCGCTCTGTCTCTGGTGAATCCTTTCACCACCCCCACCCCGCACCTCTGACTTACACCTCCGTTCAATGCATAAAAATAAATAAAAATAAAAATGAAACTTTAAAGAAAAGTTTCCAGAAAGCAAAGATTAGTCATCTTTTTGTTATCTTGTATTAAATTACTAAATCTCGCTTTTACAGGAAATTGATACAGGGACTTAGGGCAAAATAGTTGATACCAACTGAAACCAACTAAAAATATTATATATAATCTAAATACAAATCTCTAGGAGGAGTTTATAGTTTTACTAAAATGATCATATTTTTTAATGTTATTTTTATTTTGAATTTTGTCATTTATATTTTGAGCCCAAAGAAGTAAGGACAAAACTATTAGAAGAATGTTTCACCAAATTACTTACAATTCGCAGTTATTTAAAATATTATTTAAAAATGTATAAAATATTAGTTGTAGTTTTAACCTAAAGCAATGTTTGTTTTAAATATAGAAAAAGATGTTTGAGGATATTTATTGTGTCATAGTTTGGAGGGGAGATGGACCAAATGAATATTCAGAAATAGAGCAGAAGTTATATAAATTAGAGTAAGACCTCTCAAAGGGCTATTAATCAATAAAATGATGTTTACAAGGACTGTGCAATGCATGGGAAAATGCTAATGTGACACATAGAAGGAAAAAGAGAATATAAAGTCCTGTTACAAAGAAAAGAAACAATAAAATTACAGTTATTCCTTGACATCCGCATCCATTGAGTCCCTAAGTGCAAATAGTGAGTTTGGGTTGTCAATCAGGTAGCTATGGACATAAACCATTTTCTGAATCTATTTGGTTCCTGAATTTTGGTTGCAGTTAGCAAGTTTGATTCATGAAGATACCAAATGTACCTCAAAATTTTCCCAAGCTGTTTGACTCCTTAAATTTGGATAGCCAGAGTTGGCATAATAAGGATTTTTCTAGTTATGTTTGTTGTCAGAAATGACATTTCATTATTTTATGATAAGTGGCAATTATAGGAGTTGTTGTTTAATAAGTAATGTGGCAAGCAAGGCAAATAGAGCAAAAATCTTACTCAGGTGAACTTTTGAAACAATTTTGGATTTTTTTTTTAACAAGTGCACAAAGTTTTGCCAGTGTCTTCATTGATAGACATCTTGAACTGATTTGTAATCTTGAATATGGAGGGACTATTCTGTAAGCAGTGATACTTCAGATTCTTGTTTCAGTGTGGTCTTCTAAAAAGCAAATGTTAAGTACCAAGCTTTCTTTCTTTCTTTATATAATATAAATCATATTAAAATTATAAAGGAGATAGCTCATGTCCATAGGATTCTTCATGTCCATTTTTAATATATCGACAGATTCTTTTCAGTTTGTTTATAAATTATGAGAGAACAATTTGATTTTTGGTTCTCTACACTTATAAGGTGATTTTGAGGAAGTTAAATGAGTTGGAGCACTTTGCAATTTGTTTTCCTTTTATGGTAAAGCCAGTAATGTTGCTTTTAATTCTCTTTAAGGAGAAAGCTTTTAATACCAAACAAAGAGATTGGATTTTGAACAGATTTCATTTTAACCTTTTATATAACTCCAGAAATGTGAAGTAAAATTCCTGTATAAAAATATACCGTGTAAAATCTAGAATTAACAATACTTGCTAAAATCTCAAGCAGTATTTTCCTCTTCAGGATTTGAGCATGAAGTTTGGTTTAAGACACATTCCTTGCCCTGAATGTTATAGTTACTCAAGGTTTACCATATAACTTAATGAATACATTGAGGCTTTTGTGTTGTGATAAAGATGCTTTCTCTGTTAACAAATCGTGAATCTCTAGATCTGTTTCATACCTAGTCGGTAAACCCTTTTAATTTGTTAACTCTTCTTTAATTCTTCACTATCTGAGTGAAAAGATAAAGGGTAAAAGATATAGATTATAAGGACATGGAGTCCTGCCATCATGTTGTGGGCATAGAGTGAGACACAGCCTTTTCTGGACCACTCTCTGCCTGTTTTGATATCATTCTCTTGTCTGGGTGAGGACAAAGACATCTCTGCTTGGTGCAGAGAAACTTTCCTCTAAGGTCTGCTTTGTCCAGACAAAATGCCGCCCTCCCTCAAGGACATCTGCCTTTTGATGATAATAAGTGCTCTGAAGTAAACCTCAAGTCTTTGTATACTTCATCCATGTGAAACTAGTTTTTATTATCTTTAGGCAGTGAATTATCTTAATATTTTATACTGTTTTTTTCCTGCCCTTAAAAAAAAATCCCTCCCTGCCCCTCACCCCCTTTTTGCAATCACAGTCACTATCTGTGTATGCTTCTCATGCCCTCCTCCTTTCTCTTAGGGCTTTGCTCTCACATAATTACCTTATTTGGAGTAATGCTTTGAATCAGTGTGTTGCTCCTGTAACTGTTTATTTTTCATCATTCAATGAGATCCACCCCCTGAACAATCTCAAGATTGCTTTAGTTACATTTCTGTATGAAACAGATTTTTTAAATTTCATTTTTTAAAACTTTAGTTTCTCTAAGCCAAAGTTATTTTTTAATGACAAAGAATCGAAATACTTGGTGTGGTTCCCTGATCCTAATAGTTTATATCCTCAGGATAGGACAACTCTTGAGTTTAATCTAAATGTTGCTAATATTTTATTTCTTTGTTCTTAAAGTAGTTGTCCAGAGTAGGATATATTGGCATGCTTTTGTTTGTTTTCTTGTAGGACACACTTCCCCAGTCAGCTAGCTTTCTGACATTTCTACCAGATATTTTTCTCAGTATAACTGCAAAGGAGTTAGTCTTAAATTCATACAAATAGTATTTTGGTCTGTAGACTTCCTTTTCTTAAAAGATATATATGACTGTATACTTGAAATTAGCCCATTTCACTTAGTTTGCAATCTATTCTGGAACAAATTTTTCCAGTTTTAGTCTTCTTTATTTTTAGGTTTTAGGACAAATAGCTCTGGAACTGTTTTATGGAAAGAAAAACTAGCTTCATAGCAAGAATTGCTTTAATTTTTTTTCCTTCAGAAATGAATAGTCTTGTGAAAGTTTTTATTAAAATAAGCAACCTCAGAGGGTGTCTGCCTCACATCTCCCATGTGAGATTCTAAAGCTCTGTTTTTACTTTGTGAATGTCTGCTTTCTAAAGGGAAATAAATTATGGGCAATATGTTGAATGCTGTTTGTTAATTTTTACTTTGTATTTAGACATTAATTCTAGTCTTGGTTTCTTTGATATATTTCTCTTTAATGACCTTCTGGGTGACTTTTAGCTCATTTTTATTTGTAATGTTTAGAATTGGATTGGAAGAAACTTGATACAAAATCTGACTCAATCCCTCACTGACAGTTTGACTCTGGGCAATATAACCTTGTTAAAACTCAATTTCCTCACTTGTAAAATGGGATGATAGTACCTACTTAAGAAGATTGTTATGACAAGTCATATTTACTAAGCATTACAAGTAATACTGTCCACAAAGAATACATGTTAACCAATGGATAGAAGCTGCTGGGGCAGTGGAAGAGAGAGTAGGGGAGAGGAGTAGCGGGAGAGAGTATTTGTGGGAGCTTTCTTATTGAAATAACTTATTTCCCCCCCTTTTTATTCCCAGTCACAAGACAATGAAAGCTGATTGATTCAGCTTTATTATTCCTGTTAAAGTAATATTTTTGACA